GGTTTGAAAACTCTGGTGCTCTCAAAATCTTTCAACATTTTCTCTCGTCCAAAGCCGCCATCCGCATCCGTGTAAGGCTCATACTCTGCTTCCTGTAACGCGGTAGACTTTTTCTTTTCCGGGAAGACTTGTGCAAGTTTATCTTTGATAACTTGGAGAGTGGGCGTGAGTAAGGGAGCAATGTGTTCTGGTAATGGAGCAGCACCAGAGGTGGAAGATCTCTCGCTCGAAGGAACAATCTTGTCAACCGAAATCATAAAATCACGTGCAGTGACTTCAATGGTCTTCGGATCAATCAAGAATTTTTTATCCGTATCGCGGTAAATTTGTGGGTACTTTCTCTGGACGGCATTCAAGGCAGCTTCAGTGCACAGAGCGCGAAGATCGGCACCACCATATCCTTTTGTGATGCCAGCCAACTCGTTTTTGAAAGAATCAGAGAGCGGCGGCGTCCATCCTGAAGTGTGTATGTCAATGATGGCGCGACGTGACGTCTTGTCAGGAAGAGGGAAGTAGAACTCTCTATCAAAACGACCTGGACGCCGAAGGGCCGGATCAATGGAATCGGGTCTGTTGGTGGCACCAATAACGATAACTTGACCACGTCCGTCCATACCGTCCATGAGTGCGAGCAAGGTAGACACGATAGAGGCGTGGATTTGATCTTGCTTACTCGAACGAACTGGAGCGAGACCATCAATTTCGTCGAAGAAGATGATACTGGGCGCGTTCTTCCTCGCATCTTCAAACAAGATCCGCACCTGCCTTTCAGCTTCACCGACCCATTTACTCAGAATATCTGCACCTTTCCTCATGTAAAACGTAATCTGCTTGCCATTTGCGCTGCATGAGTTGGCAAGAGCTCTAGCAAGGAGAGTTTTACCAGTACCGGGGGGACCATGGAACAAGACACCACGAGGCGGCGTGATACCCAAGCTTTGGAAAATCTCAGGATACATGAGGGGCAAGGCTACCATCTCTTTCAATTGATTGATATGCTCGGCAAGACCACCGACTTTGGAAAAGTCCACGTTAGGATCGATGCCAATGGGGTCTGCGTCAGCGAGGCTCTTCTTTTGGGCAGAGTTAATCTTGCCCAAATCCATAGGAGTTCCGTGGGCACCCGGGCGAGAGATAGAATCGCGTTTGCCGCCCGTGCTGATCGGCGGGGCCACTGCATCAGTACCACCCGTGGGCATCATTTGGATATCATCATCACTGCTATCCGAGTCATTAAACCCGAAATTACGATCCGAGTTGAGAATTGAGCGCTCTTGCCCAATGCCACCAAAGAGACCGATCGTATTGAACAGTGGTCGGCCGCCGGAGCTACCGTTCTTGCCTTTACGTCCATTTTTCCTGCCAATAATAGTTGGTGGCGGGCTGCCATCATCCTCAATGATGAGGTTCTCCTCGGGACGGAAGACACGATAATCGATAGCTTTATCGGCGGCGCGTCGAGGGCGTCTGCTAGAGCTGGAATCCTCTGCTTCGGCTGCCATTAGGTATCGGTTTTCCCGTCTAGTACGCTTGCGCTCCTTGCCGAGATCACGGGCTTCCTCGGCCAGCTCATCGAGGTCAATATCGACAGGGTCAGTCGACATTTGGCTCCTTCTGCGCTTCTTTTGAGAGGCGGCGCGAGTCCTCCGGCCACGGCGTTCGTCGGCTTCGTAATCATCCTCATCTTGCGGTTCGGGCTGATCGCTATCAGAATCCTCATGTTCGCCATCGTCATCACCATCTTCTTCGTATTCATCGTCGCTATCCTTACTACTGCGTTTGGACTTGCGAGGAGGTTGCTTTTTGGGTGTAACAAACGCGGAAGGCGGGGTTACTTGCCGCTTAGCAGCAGAGCGAGTTCGACGGCCAACAATGGGCTCATCGTCATCGTCATCATCCATATTGATGTCGACGATATCGCCCTGAACTTGCGCGTCTTCTTCTTCCTCGTCCTCAGGAAAAAGGCCAGTCTCGACAGCCTCTTTCTTCAAGGCAACACCAGCTCTAGTCGTTATTCTGTCGGCTTCAGCGTCTTCTACAAGGTCCGGAGCAATGAGTAAGCCAGATAATTCGCTTTTAGGAACGTTAACATCCAGGGAATCACCATTGCTGGTGCTAGTCATACCGGGTTGAAAGTTCTCGTCTTTAGAAGTATTTCCGTTGGTGAGTTTGTTCGAAGAATTTTGAGTGGATTCTTCGGTGATGCGAGACATGGCGGCGGCGGCGGGAGGCGCATGGGCCGCAGGGTCGACTTCCATATCGTCGCGACCATCGGCGCTGCGAGCACCTTCACTACTGGCCCTGCTAGCGGCACGGGTTGTACGTCGATTCGGGTTGGGAGCCGAGGCGTAAGGAGCCTTCCCGCCTGTGGTAGGACGGCTAGTGCTACGACTCCGCCTACCCCGGCCACTTGGAGACTGGGTCGGCTCTCGGGACTTACCACGAGTCCGGGTGGGCAGTTCTTCACCAGTATTTTCTGGCGGAAGGGAAGCCAGGCGGGAGGACCGTCGTTGGGTGGGTGGAGCATTAGTGGACGCCCCTGAGGCGGATCCCTTGCGTGTCATTGCTTGTTTTAAGAGCTCTGGGTTGATCTTTAGTGTAACAATCCGGGATTTTTGTTCTTCTTCCTCCTCTTCTTTTTCGTCGTCGGTAGGTGGAACGCTGAGTTCGGTCTGCGGCTCCTCTGTTATTTGACGTCGCCTCAGTTGGCGCCTGGCGGGAGCCTTCTTAGGAGCCTGCTTCTGTGGAGTCTTGCCGGCTTTAGCCTTGCGTGATTTAGGTGGTTTCGAGTCTTCTTCTTCAGTAAAGATAGCTTCGTCTTCTTCCTCCTCTTCTTCTTCTTCGTCTTCACCAGAGGATGATTCTTTGTATTGAGGTTGTTTGTTTTTGGCTGCTCTTCTTGCCGGACGACCGGCAGCGTTCATTTCTTCGTCGTCGTTGTCGTCTTCGTCCGAGGATTGGGTCCAGGAGCCTCTGCTCAAGTCGTCCAAGTCGTCTTCTTCGTAGTCTTCGCGTCGACGACGAGGTTTGGACTTTTTAGAGGCGCTGCGTCCCTTCTTGTTGGGGGTACGGGACTGACGTTTGGAAGGAGAGGCGTAAGAGGCCCTTGGATCGAAATCGTCGTCTTGAGAGTCCTCCCCGAGGGTCTCGGGGTCGACTACGAGGTTTGTGATGCTCTGTCCCTTGCGGCTGCGATTTGGCATGGTTGGGAGGGAGTGAATATGCTGGGAAGCGTTAGAGGATGATGGTGTTTTGGACCATCGAGCAGGATCTACATTCCCGTGCGGTTAGTGAATAGAACCAAAAAAGAAACCCCCCAAATAATAATAATAATAATAATAAAAAAGGTGATGAATATGGTGACTTTAGAAAAATGAACATACTATGTGTGGTAAATTCGAGGGCAATAAATCTAGCGAATTAGGATTGGAGTAGAGGAGCCGAGAATGAAAGGAAGGCTCAGGGCAGCACAGCTTGGCGAATATAAACGACGGAATTGAGGTACAATTCTTCCAAAGCCGTGAAGTCAGAGCCGATAAGATGTAATGCCCGTTGATTTTTGGGGCAAGATGATTCAGGCGGGATGGGACGCGAAAAAGTGGTATAGGACGCGGTTGGAAGGGGAAATTGCCCCCAAGTCCTCGGGATCCTTGGTGAAAAAACAAGAGATTCAAAGGGTATAAGGCGAGAGCAGACGTACAGACAGCCTTCTGAACGGATTCAAAGTCGAAGCCGGTATCGAGAGGGAGAGAGGAGAGGGAGGATGGTGGTGATGGTGATAAGAAGAGGGAGGAAAGAACGGGAAGGGAGAAGGAGACGAAGACGAAGAAGGACAATAAGACTGCGTGAAAAAGCAAAAGCGGCGAAGTGGCGGTGCCACACCAAAACACAGGCACCCGCACACCACAACAAAAAGAGCACCAGCCGCAAACACCACAAAAAGTTGGAAGACTCATCCCGACGTGATCACGACGGGACTCATCGACGGGGCCATTGGAGGACGTGTCTTTCGGCAGAGAATCAGTCTCGGTCACGCTGGCAGGTGTTTTCGTGGTACCAAGCAGTGGCAAAGGGGTTTTCAACATGAGTCCGACCGTATTTCCACCCAAGACACCATATTTGACTCGACCGATGCGACGTTGAGTCATGAAAAGCTATTTTATATCGCGAAACTTGGGTGAATTCAATGTTTAGACATGTCGTCGTTCGTTTTGTCTACTTTTTCGGCTTCATCGTTTCGCGGTTGTTGTGTTAGGCATTTTGAAAGGGGAACCTGCCATTATGACAGGGGTCAACAAGGTGTGGCGGTGCGAGGGAGTCGACTCCACCAAAAATTGAAGATTCGATAAAACGCTCCAACGCCAGCCCAATATCAACGTTCAAACCTCAAAATCTTGAAATTTTAATCATGCTTCTTGGATTGTTGAAGTGGGCCTGGGAGCTTCGATTTTTGGATATTCAATGTCGCCGTAGCGATGCGACAACGATTCCGAGCTTCTCGAGGCCGTTTCCCCGCCGTAAAGACCACTTTTCCGGGATCCCCAAACTCACTATCGTCGATATGATAAATCGTCCACATCGTCATTGCTTCCCGAAGATATGGTTCAACCCCGTTTCCCACGTTCTGACGTGCGGCTCTGCTGTCACCCTCGGCTCGTAGGTCGGAACTTTATCCCCCTTCAGTTTGTCACTTCTAAAGTTGCCGTTTTAGTAGTTTGTGTTGGCGAAATACCTCCAACCAACACATCCAACAGAAGGCAGGCTGGAAACGAGACCAAACCCTTCCCACTTATCTAAGAATTACAAACAAGCTGCGATATCTAATGGGCAGAAAGAAAGCTCCCAAAAAATATATAGAAAATTAAACAAGGCAATCTAATTTTGTATAAGAGATCTCTCCATCAAATTTGTGGACAAAGTTCAAGGACAAGAAAAAAAAAACGGTGTACTTCTAGCACTTCCTGTCAGGAGGAAGAGTTCCAAAAAAATATTGCTCGAGTCGGCACCGGTAAGGCTCGAACTTACGACCTCTCGGTTCCTAGGTTCTCAGAGGTGGACCTCTGAGGGCTTAACAGCCGAACGCGCTAACCAATTGCGCCACGGCGCCCGAACTCGTCGCTTTGTTGGAGAATATGTCTCCGGAACGCCACTTATACCTTCATGGTTGACGAGAATGGCTGGGATTGATAGGAAGATTACTCCTTTCGGATCTGAAATACCGCTTTGGGCTTGGCTCTCCCGTTGTTTACATTTCGACAACAACATCAACCCCAACACATTCACACACCACTCATCCTCAATGACCGTCTGTTGATCTGTTTACAAGTTTTCATTCCACCAACTAAACTTACATCGTCCTCACCGGATTATCCGCCCTTTAATCAGCGTCTATTCTATACCGACAGCAACGTTCTTGGTCACACTTGCAGACATTTTGATTACAATACTCAAGCGTTCAGATTGTTTCCGGTCTATTCGGTCCCTTTAACGCGACTATCCAAGTCTCCTAACATATCGATATCTACAAATGCCACACAACAGATTCAAGATTTTGAACATATAAAAACATGGACCTTGAAGATACACCCTGTCCACCCATCACCCGTCGGAAACGTCTCCGTCCGGCTTCTCCAGACATCACCTTCCCTTTCCCCGACAATGACACCGACTCCTTCACTGCGGAGTTCAACCAGTCCCGTCGACCGCTAAACTCTCTAACCATCGCTCCGAAACGAAGAAAAATTCCTCTGAACTTGCTCAAAAGAGTCGCTGCCGACAGGAAACAACCATCGTCGGATACTTCCATCTCAAAAGACTCAGTAGACTCAACAAGCAATGAAATCAGTCACGATGATATTATTGTCGATACGAAACACCGTCGCATGTCGACCCGCTCGCAAACCGCCAACCTCCTCTCTTCACCCGCTACGATGCAACCAAACAATTCCATCCTCCACACTGACATTTCCTCCATCGACTCATCATCCGCTACAATCCTCCCAAACTCCTCACCGAACGTTTCCACCATTTCGAACCAACAAACAATATCAAACCCACCTCCCAAAAAACGTCGAAGGATAAGCGAACTAGTCCGTCGAGTAGCCGCCGCGGCGGTCGCAAAGACGAAACCCACACCGGCGCCCATTCAATCCACCACCACCACCACCACCACATCTTCAAAGCCGAAATTAACTCAAACAAAAGCACCTGTGAAACCTAAGAAAGATGTCCCAAAACGACAAGCCCCTCCCAAGAAGAAACCGTCGGTCCCAACAGCATCAAAACCTCGTTCTTCAATAGTACCCAGAAGAACCAGCACCGCATCCACAACATCCATCACAACTGCACTGCCAAAGTCTCGCCCGGCACTGAAAGCCGTATCCCGGGGCATGAACCCTCCCACTCGTCCACTCTCCCCTTCAAGAAAACAATCACAATCAGCAATATCATCAACTCTACCCCACTTACGCCTCCAAAAGCCCAAATCCGCATCAGATACAGAATTCACAAAATCCAAAATCACAAAACCTGCACAACAAAAGAAACCCACCCGAAAATCCGCATCATCCTACCCTTCCCTCCTCTCATCCTCTTCCAACGGCAGTACCACTACACTCACGCTAAACCCCTCCCTCCACGCTTCATCCACAATATGGATCTCAAACCAGGAAGTCTTACTAGAAAGTATACTCAACGATATCCTCACATCTGCTACTTCTGCCTCTTCCAAATCATCCTCACAGATTAGAGAAGAGTTACTTGAAGTTTACAATACGGAGGTATACGTCAACCTACACGAACGGCTCAAGGCGTCCATTTTGCACGGTGTTTTGAAACCGACGGAAGAGCAGTTATCCGACGACGGAGGCGGGGTATCAGAAGATTTAGGTGAAAGGGATAAATTCGTAAGACTGTTCACGGAGACTTATTCGCCCGAGGTATTGAAAGCTGGAATGGAAGTTGTAACGGGGAGGTGTATCGATCCTACAACCAACACTGCAACGACATCAATACCCGCGATGGCCAAGTTTTTTGAAACCTTCTTCATCGACGTGCAAGATGATAGCGGTGCGTGGGAGAGTTACGGGTCGAACCATCATGGAAATTTACGGGTGTGGGTTGAAACTGAAACGGAGGGTGGTAAAGCTTGGAGATTACGACGGGTCACATTACGATGTCTGATGTTGGTTCACCTGCTCGATTACGCCAGGACACAAAATGTTTTCAACGGACGGTTACTCTTTCGAAAGGAATCCGGGGTCAAAGGTTCAGAGGAGATGGTCAATAGGGTTTGTAAAGCCCTGTTGCCTAGTTTGGGTAACGCTTCAAGATGCCTGAGGAGTTGCAAGTATATTGTTATGGTAACGCAGAAGGCGGAGGAGGAGTATGAATGGGGGATCAGAAATTTGAGAGTAGATTTACGGGATGGGGTTAGGTTGATGAAAGCTGTGCAACTGTTGGGGATAGATGAGGGTAACTCGATGGATGGTATCTCGTTGATGCCGAAGAGTAGGAAGGAGAAGGTGGGGAATGTGGAACGGGTAGTTGGGGTGTTGGTCAAGAGAGGAGTCTTGCCAGAGGGGAGCGTACGGGCGAGGGATATTGTCGACGGACATCGAGAGGTCACCTTGAGTGTGCTCTGGGCTGTTGTTGGTGGGGTCGCGGTTGAGAAATTGGTGGATTGGAGCGAGTTGGAGAGGGAAACAGCGAGGTTGGCGAGGAAGTATCGAATTGAACTCGATTTACAGGCACTGGTGGAAGGCGGAATGAAGGGCTACTTGGCTCGTTTGGAAAATTGGGTCAAGGTTATTATAGCGGGGAGGAACGGTGGCGAAGCTATCACGGTCAGGCAATTATTATCGGAACGAGTCGTCGATGGAATATTGAACGAATACGAAAATTTAGTCGAAACTTCCCCTTCGACATGCGAAATAGAAAATGAAAGGGGCATCAAAGAACGGTTGAAATATATGGGTTGCAGCGAAGCATTCATGAAACTCTTCGCCCCACCAGAAAGAAAAGAAAACAAGGTTTTCAACGAACGATTTGCCATCTCCGCACTAGCTTTTTTGGCATCCCGGGTTCTCACTTCTAGTCGGCGGAATAGATGCACCATAACTCTCCAGCGGTGGTGGAGACGAGTGGACTTTCGTCGGAACGTATTCCACAAGATACAATCTATCCTCGAAGAAGCGAGGGAGATTGAAAGGATGGTACAGAGTAAGAGAGAGGAGTGGGCAACCAGGATTATTCAACGGGCTTGGAGACGAGCTGTGGAGCAGAGAGTGCAGCAGCTCGTATGCAGGATTGTGGGGGTACAGGCTGTTATTCGAGGTGTTCTTATTAGGAGAAAGTGGGATTACAGTTTCAAGAGTGGAAAGAAGGAGGCGAAGAGGGAATTTGTGGGCCCGAAGAAAGATGAGGCAGATCCATACAAGCTTAGAGATGTGGAGGATGGGGATGCTGTGGCTGGAAAGCCAACGAAGAAGGGAAGGAGGAGGAAGGCGAAGGTTGTAGATGATGTGGAGGGATTGGGGGATATCTGGCAGGACTTGGCGGATATCCAGGAGTGATTGTTTGATGATTTATTGTTGGAGTTATTTGATGTTGGCTCTTTTTTTAACGGCCTCATCATTGTTTGAGTTTATTCATATCGTCCACAGCGGTTAGCATATATTGGAGTTTGGAGTACGCATTAGCCTAAGTTTTTCAAATTAATTATACAGTGACTTGCCATTACGATCCAGCCGTTTCGAGTGTCTACTATCATTTTCCCATCTAGACTAGAACAAAATTGTAAAGATACAAATATTTAAATGAACATATCCAATTCACGTTCATACTCTCTATCGACTACACGTTCAGCTTCCTTAAGAGAAAACAATCATCTCGAAACCATAACTCTGTCTCACTATACATCTTCTTAAGGTTAATCATAGTATTCAAATACTGACACTAAACCTTTGAAAATGGCCATCAAGCACGAAGACCAAGAAACAACCAACGACTTACGCAATCTCTCACTCCAGGATGTCGAAAAACAACTCTTCGATAACAGTGAAGACGAAGAAGAAGAACTCCCATCTCCTCCTCCAACGCCACCACCACCCTCCAAAAAGCGTCGTCGCTCTAAAGCTACCACCGAGAACGATGAAAATAAACCTCCAGCAGGCAATAAAACTACAACCAAGCAAACTAAGCAGAAGGTTAAAAAGAAGGTGGTGAAGAACCAGCCAAGGCTAAACGTGGCCGTGGTGCCACTGCTTTCACACCAGAGCAAGACGCATACCTGTGCCATTTACGTTCTTATATGAAGAACGCTGAGGAAATACACAAAGCATTCGAAGTCAAATTTAATACCGGAAAAACCCCAAAGACGTTGAAAAACCGCTGGTTTTCCATCAAGGATGCCGTTTTGTTGACTGGTGAGGAGGATAAGATTTTAACTGAGACGATTGAGGAGGTTATGGGAGATTTGCCGGGTACTATTATAGAGAGATTTAAAGGAAAAACTCAGAAAAAGGTTACCAAGTCTTTTGTGGAGAAGAAGATGAAGGAAGGAGGGCATGGTGGTAGTGGTCCTAGTGGTGCTAGTGCTGGTGCTGTTGGGAAAGGAAAGCTTGGGGAGGAAGAGGATGAAGAGTAGACTGGCTTGCACGGATTATACGGACTCGTTAGTGCCTGTTATGAAGTTATTTACCGTTTTATAGGGAGACGACTAGCTCGTGAGCTTGACGGGATGGGTTTGAAGTTTTAATTGAAAAATTAGAAGCAAATCTCTAGAGAAAAGATATATCATAAGTTGGCTAGTCGAGTTTCGAGGCCCATTGAGATTATGATTAATAAGATATATCTCAAGGAATGCCTCACCGTAAGGTACCAAGCTGAACTGTAGAAATGCAGCCAAGTGCCATGAACCTTCTACAAGACATCATGCATAGAAGATTCTAACTGCGTAGGTAGTTCCATCGAAATCCACGATAATCTTTCTCTTGAGATTGAAATATCACCATCGACCAAGTATACACCCCCACTCCAGTCTCTCACAATACCTCGACGACGCCCTCACCAAAGCTACTTCAACTATCTCTCGAGATTTTAAGTAAT